CTCTCTCTCTCTCTCTCTCTCTCTCTCTCTCTCTCTCTCTCTCTCTCTCTTTCGCTCGCGCACAATGTCTCCTCTTCCTCCTCTCTTTTACTCTCTTCCCTTTGTGCCTCTCTTTCTCTTTCGCTCTTTCTCTCCCTTTCGCATCCTCTCGACACAGAGGATGATAACGGCGACAGAGAGAGAGAGAGAGAGAGAGAGAGAGAGAGAGAGAGAGAGAGAGAGAGAAAGAGAGATAGGGATAACGACGCATGATGGTGTTGCGCCATCAACGGTGCAGCCGGTTCTGCCACATGGTTGCATCCACAGGGGCGCATCGAGACGCTTCGCCTCGATGCCGCTGAACTTTCATAACTGTCACGGACGCGCAATTATACGCTACGGTCGCTGCGATCTCCCGTATCGCTTGCAAAATTAATATCAATGAGGATCCGCGAGGATTTTCGCTCTAAACCGCGCACGCGAAAATAAACGATTCGAGCTTTCCGGGCCGCCGGTATTTTATCAGGGCGTTTAACGACGTTGCGGACTCGCGGATGCACTTAAAACTTTGTTTCCGCTCGCGCTCGCGCGAGTTCGTCTGCGCGATTATCGTGTCGATGCGGATTTATTTTAATACACGAACGACGATACGTTTGTTTTTCGCGTAATTGCCCAGAAAACCGCTGTAGGTCCACACAAGAAGTGACAATCGTATACTCGTGCATCTCATGATCCGATAATTTTCGTTTTGCTTGGCACATTTTGCGCGCGTGTCTTATCATTTAAACGACACTATTTCTTCGTCTTCTTCCTCTTAGAACAGGCTTAAGGGGTCATTCCACTTTAACGGTCCCAAAACTATGCTTATCTTCAACAATTTTTTTCACAGTAAATACACCATACGATGAAAATAAATCTCTTTGGGATTTATTAGGGCACTCTTAAATAACACAAAAAAGGTTTGTCATAATTTAAACAATTTTTTAATTAAGCGTTTTCTACACCGTTCGAATGGCGTGTCACAAAAGAAGTCATCAACGCAGCGGATTTGCATTTTTTTTTACACGCCATTCGAACGGTGTAGAAAACGTTTAATTAAAAAATTGTTTAAATTATGACAAAAATTTTTTTGCATTATTTCAGAGTGCTCTAATAAGTTCCAAAAAGATTTATTCCATTGTATGGTGTATTTACTGTGTAAAAAAATTGTTAAAGAGAAGCATAGTTTTTGGGCCGTTAAAGTGGATTGACCCCTTAAAGTCTGTTTTATCCAGTTTGTTCTGGTACTTTGAGCATTTGGTTTTACTTCATCTTCGGTAGGCTGCTAAACCTTGCCGAAGGAAACCTTCCATCTGGAGGGAGGGCTATACTCCTAATAAAGAGGTACGTGTGGCAGGATACTCTCTCGGTGGTTGTCACTTTCCTTCGAGAGATTCCGAAAAAACCAGCGGTGTCCGTGGATTTGAACTGGGATCTTTTCGTTCATTTGTTCACTAAGCAGCGCACATTTCTCTGCGCCACACTCGCCACCACGATACTATTCGATTTAAAAAAATAGGCAAGACGTTCCCTCGTGCGTAATATCGAATTGATGAACCAGCTGTGTACGGTCAATTTGCGAAATACGCCGTAACGCATAAGAATGTTTCCCCTATTCCGGGTGTATTGATAAGCAGCCGTCGTTGTTGCTGCGGCTGCAAAGAAAACGAAGACAGAGAAGCGAGTCGGGCGACGACCGCGGCGGCTAAATAAATTTGCCGGTGCCCCAAACTGAAATCCACTCAAGATCTTAGATTAGAGTCGGTCCGAAGTAAAGCCCGGATCCAGACAACTCGTACAACTCATCGGGAGTCGGTCTGATCCAATTTATTAGTAGTATCCCGAGTACGGAAGAGAGAGAGAGAGAGAGAGAGAGAGAGAAGGATGGGTGGGAGAGAGAGGGGGGAGAGACTTGACGATTTTTGCGCTCGGGACGCACGTGCGACTCCTTTTCGCGACACGGCACACGCTTCGCCGTTGTTGATTTTGTCGACAGAAAGCATAGGGCGTCATTAATTCACGCGTGTTCCTTACGAGATCGCATATTTTTCCAGATAGGATTTAATCAACTCTTAATGTAGCAATCATCGCTTGCGATTACTGGATTTTGTTATCTACGTGCAGCTTTTATTTTTTATTTGTTCAATTTGGTTCCTGCATAAACAGTCCAAAAGTAAGTTTCAGCTAACGTGTATACGATATGGATATTTGCATATGTAATTACAATTTCTTTCTATAAATTAATTTAAAATGAGTGAAAATAAAGGACATTTAACGTGAACAAATAAATCCGAGATATGTAAAAATTAAACTCCTCCGTACAGAGCTTCGTTTTTCAAGAAGATACCGAGTTAAACTGAAAACTCCGAAACCTGACTCTAATCTTGCTTGCTCCGTCTACATTGACGTTATACTTTCACATGCATAGGCAAGCAACTCAAAATTATTCCAAACGCGCGTCACGATCCTCCATGATCGCCCGTATCCGTTGCACTTGCCGGACAGCAGGTCTCGAAGGCAGCCAGGAGAAGAGGGGGCACGGTGGTGGACCCGTGGAAAAACTACACGTAGAGAACGAAATCTAATGACACCCCGACCGTTACTAATGACGCTAACGAGGTAGTTAGATGTTAGAGCGAATGTCGGTGGGTCTGGACCGTGGGCCGAGGGAACCCACTTACCGACTTATCACGTAGTTACCTAATCTGTTTATCCCAACGGGGGGTAGAGGAGGCCAGAGAGAGAGAGAGAGAGAGAGAGAGAGAGAGAGAGAGAGAGAGAGAGAGAGAGAGAGAGAGAGAGAGAGAGAGAGAGAGAGAGAGAGAGAGAGAGAGAGAGAGAGAG